TTTCTCCTGCTGATAATAGCCCACCTTAGTTAATTGGTCTCGTTACAGTTGGTATGGCAACACCCATTTTTTCATGTTCTCTGTGTATATATATCTTCCTACTGTATTTTCCACTGCATGCATCTGATGAAGTGGGTTTTAGCCCATGAAAGTTTATGTCCAAATAAGTTTGTTAGTCTCTAAGGTGCCACAAGGACTCCTCATTTTTCTTGGTTTTTAAGTGCTTTATTCTCATACAGTGAAGTCCAGGTGCTGAGTCTATGCATGACAAAATACTCTTCCTTGGCAATAAGAATGCAACTGATGGTAGAAAGAAATCACCTATGATTCAGATATCGTCATTGTCAGAAAATAAATCCTATGTTACTAAGCAAAACAAAATGAAGGATTTCTTTTCAAGATGTACCGTCCAAAATACAGAATACATGTAAATAGTTGACACAGAGAGATCCTTACTAAAATTAGTTCATTCCTTTCTAAATAAAATTAAACTCTAGGACATGTTTTGTACCAACAACAAACATATCGGACTGTCTCCAGAACAAGGGGCAGTATCTGCTGAATGATGAGCAGTGACTTTAATAGTAGGATTCTTTGCCAATGTGTCAAATGTGTGGCTGGAACTAAACTTTCAAGGTACTGCAGGAAATATCCACCTAATCAATGGAATGCTCATACTGTGCTATTAAATCAGGATGTATTTAGAGAAGAAACATCTTACAGGGACTTTACAGGGTGTGTGAGACCCAGTGAAACAAACGTGAAAGGATAAAATCACGAGCATTCGAAGAAATATCTTTTCCCTGTCTCTCATATATAACACCTGTCACATGAACATACACCTTAAGGTGCTATACAGCAGTATTTATAATAACTGTAATCTTGAAAAGATGATTCACAATCTGCCATGCCCATCTTCCTTAAACACCTCATACAAGCACCCTGCATAGACTATCTCATTTTTCCATTGCCACCACCAGCTTCCGCACACACCCTCCTGTCCAACCTTCGTGTTCGTTCTCACCCCCATCTCTCCTCCTCCCTTCAAATCAAAGCCAAATCCCCACTAAATCCTGCCAATTTCTCCTCTGCAACATTGTCAAAAACAATCCAGTCCTCTCCATTCCTACCACTAACCCCTCCTCCAGCCACTGATCATCTGAATCTAAAATCAATGAATCTGTCCTCAGGTACTGCAGCCTTCTGGCTTATCTGAGAAGGAGAAATACAATCACTGTAGGAGAAAAGAGATTGTGGTGGGTAAAAGAGAATAGTCTTCTGAGTTTGCAGAATAAGATCCTGATCCAAAGCCCACTAAATTCAATGGAAAGATGCCCAGTGATTTGGATCTGGCCCTACCATCTCTTAGATTATCTGAAAAAATAAAAGAACAAAGGTAAAGCAAGGCATCCTTCAATTACACATCTCAGCGGGTGACACTGTGCTACCCAGTATTAAGAAGTATTATGCTGCCTGCCATCTAAAGCCATGAGAGATGGACCATGAAGGTTCCTTTTAATTTTGGCTGTGAGCTGTTCGCACAGCTGTTGCATTAACGGAGCTGCAGTGATCCATTTTCACCGGGTTAAACACGATATTAATAGAAGATCCCTGTACTTCCTGGGGCTGATTACACTCCACTTTTCATGTTTTACATAGACGTAACCTAAAGGGAACAGACTTTGTACAGGCATAAGTACAATCAGGCAAGAGAATAATAGAATGAACTTGTTGGCGCCTGGGACCATCTGAAAGCAATGCTCATGATTATAGCGATTTCCAGTGTAAGTTCCTTGCATTAAATGAACTGTTACAGATAAATTTCACAAGCACAGAGCTGCATCTCCTTCTGTAGAGTTTACAGATAATGAACGTTTGTCCCATTTGAATACAACTAAATTGGATGCAGTGGAGCAGGGATGGGCAGCAGCACACAAGTCTAACGATTGCTTTGAGGTAAAATACAGGCCTGAGACAACAAACTCCAGCACAGACGTGCTCCCAAGATAACCACTTGAGGGAGAAGATGCAGTAATTGTTCTGGTTCAAGAACCAGCCGTTCTCTCACAACCAGATATTCCAGGAGGAAAAACAGCAACAAACCTCTATTCACAAGTCTGTTAAAGAACAGCAGGTAAAAGTCCCTTGTTACAGGCCTCCAGTTGAATGAATGCACTGTTTTCATGAGGAATTAGTTTGTGCACAGGAGCACACCTAATGGAAAAATGTGCCTTGTGGTATTACAGGCTATTGAAAGTAGCTATCAGCCTTGGAGTAAAAAACAAAACAAACAAACAAAAACACATTACTGTTATTAAGATGGTGCATAAAACACTGTGTATGTTACATGAGTATTATTGTGTAGGGAATAGACTGGACCTTTTAGAGCAAGTGATGCATCTCAATTTTGTCCAGCAATAGTGATGGACACATTTGTGCAATTAAAACACAAGCATTAGTGAATTTACTGGCCAAGTATTTATGATCAGTGGAAACCCCTGGGCCAAAAGGAAACTCATTGCAAGTTCAGAAATTGGAAGGTGAAACTTAGTGGATGAATGTTGCCTCAGGAAAACATTTAGGTTCAAGAAATGTTCCCCAGTGGTTCTGATTCGGGAGTTTCTGACAATTACAGAGACTGAAAATAAAATAAATAAATAAATAAATAAATAGAAGTAGTGAATCAAAGGCCAAGGAAAAACTTTGGTCCTAGCCTGGGGTTAAAAATTATATAATTTCTTGTCTGATCCTCAACTGCAGCCCATATTCTTTAGGGAGAGACTCTACGGGGCAGTAGTTTTAAATAGCTATTCTTGTACCTGCAGTATTGATACCAGCACAATCCTCAATGGGTTCAGAAAGGGGCCTCCTGTTTTTTCCGTCTGTGGGAATTTTATCTGGGAAGACTATGCAATGTTCATTCATGGGTTATTCTACTCACAAGAGACTGAAAGCCCTTCCTCACATTTCTGTTTATAGATATCTGATAAGCATTTTCTTCGTTTAATATTAATCGGTATTGACTATAAATAAACTAAGTGAAACTATTGTTAATTCTGGATGCTGGTCATTTATATACAGTCACTTTAAGTAATTGTAGAGATCTTTATGCTTGTACTAAGTAGGGCCAGACTCTCTATGCTTTACTCACTGTGAGTAGTACCTTATTCCATGGGGCATGTTCTCCCTCTCCCTCTGAAATCAGTGAATCCCCTGATTCACTGGATCACATATAAAAGTGCATCCCGCTCTTTCTCTCTTACACACACATGAGAGCAGAGGGAATAAAGTGAGATTACATTTGCTTAGATGAGATGAGATTACATTTGATTAGGGAAGGAGAGAAGTGTCTGTGTTTCCATAGTTCCCACAAGAAAGGGTTTTTCTAACTCTTGCCTATTTTTCTTGTGGAGTAAGGTGAACAGCAGGGCACAAATGGATTCTCCATTATGACCATAATACAATAAAAGCTAACAAGAATTTTAGCTTACATTTTCATCCAGAAGGATCCCAAGGCACATTACGAATGGAAACTACCTTGAAGAGTCAGAAAACAGGAATTATTCCACCATCACCCCTCCACTGAAACAGCCTCCTTTGAGACAAAATGTGTCTGGCAGTGCAGAGCCACATTACACAACAATTTAAAAAGGAAATGAAGAAGAACACAGAACAGGTAGGAACCTCTGGGACATTGAGTCTAGTCCCCTGCTATCACAGGGAGCCCGGTCCTGTACTTCCATTCATAAATGTATCACTATCAAGGATGCAATATCAAATGCAAAAGCAGAGAGAAATTTTAGGCAAATTGATCCAATTATCCACATTAGAATTTGGTCAAAACATTTGGGTTAATCACAGAAAGAGAAGTAATTTAGATACAGATTATTTTTTCCTGAACATGCTTATAGCTGGCAACTGTGATTTTACATTTTGCATATTTGGAGTTTAGACCTACCCAAAGACTTTTGTGACTCTAGCTCTGCTCGGAATTTGCAGGACTGGAGGCATGCAGAGATGGCTGTGGTGCCGTATGAAGAGTGGCTCAGTGCTTACATTCATTTGGCAGAATCCTATTGCACACGACAGTTCAGGTTTATAACTGCAGATAAAGTTCACCCACAGGATACATTGGAATCTGTTGGTCAGATACAGGAAAGGTGCCTTTCTGTCTCATGTTATAGGAAAGGGATTTCTTAGTTTGTATTCCTTCCTTTACATCCAAAGTTTGGATTTGCTGTGTTCTGATGCCCACATAAAAAAGCCATTGTCCTATAAACAGCTTTTCACCAGCTTTTTTACTGTATCTACATGTATAGAAATCGTAGACACCTAGCAGGTAATCTGATTTCCCCTGCTTGCAGGATGCATGACTTTCCTTGCTAAATATTTCAGAATAGCTTCATTAGCCTAGTTTTAAATATCTGTAGTGAACAAGTGTCCACAACCAACCATGGAAAACTTGGAGAAGTGTTGCTGATTGGTTAGAGCAGAGGACTGGGATTCAGGACTTCTTGGTTCTAATTCCTAGATCTTTCATTCCTTTGATGTATGAGATTGAGCTAGTCATTGGGTAACCTCTTTGTAATTCAGTTTATTCATCTATAAAATGGGTATAATTCCCACTGGGAGAGTACATGTGGAGACTCTTCATTCAAAAGTCCTTTGAGTCCCTTAGCAATGTACAAAGAGGGCACAATATAATTATGACACATTGTAACATTTTTTTTTCCAAGCAGCATTTAGCAGATGAAATTTAAGCTCAGGAAAGAACAGGAATTGATTTCAGCTTCAGAGTTGCAGAGAGAGCTGAGTGCCGAGCCTGGTGTGTTTACATTTCATACACGGTAGTGAGCATTAAAAAATAAATCCCCCTGGGGCATCTGCTGTACACATCTCTGGGCAGAATTTACTGTGATGTAACAATGAAAAATTATACACATAAAGCACAGACAATTGCCTATTAGATCTTATGAAAGATTCCGAAAAGTTACCTGCATTCTGCTAAGCTATAAATTATTTACCTGCAGTGCTAGCTTGAATACAGCTGGAAATAACATCTGCAGCACAGTGGAACCGTGTTCCAGGAGCAACCAACACCGACAAAACACAGGCTGAGGATGCTGAGCGAAAAGCCTTGACTAGAGCAAGCTGAAGCCCTCAGTATGGTAAGGAGACAGCAAGTTTTTTGTGCAACAATACACAAAACAATGTTTCAGTGAAACTCATAAATAAGGGAAAGAATAAAATTGTTACAGTGACTAAATGTTCAATGTTCCAGAAAGCGAGCTGTAGCAAAGCTGTTTAATTCTTCTCTTCTCTTTCAGGAGAAGAAAAATATTTCATTGCTTTGATTTATTTACTTATTTCTAAGTGAAATAAAACTGTTTGGCTGAACGTGTGTTAGGATCTCTGTGTATGTTTATAGATAGAATAGAATAGGTAAAACCCAGGCCCTGTTGACTGGGATGGGGCCAGGATTTTACCCAATGTATTTGTTTATATATTCAGTAATAATATCTAGTTCTTATAAAACACTCAAAGTACTTTAGAAAATTTTGTAAATAGCATTATTCCCCATTTTTATAGATGGACGAACTGAGAATTTGAAGGGTCTCACGCAGTGGCTGAGAATAGAACCCAGGTCATATATCTCTATATCTGAGAAAGGCTTAATGAGATGAGATTAAATTAGATCAGGGCAGGTGGGAAGTGCTTGAATATGTGTTTAAATACGGTACAAAATGGTCAATAGTTAGGAAAAGTTCTGCTCTAGGAAATATCTAATGTAGGTCTTCCCTTCCCCAGCCCAAGTCATTTTATTGATTGCTATATATCACCCTTTTATCATAATTCCCAATTAATATACAACAAACATCTGAGTGAAAACAAACAGCAGCTGATGTGCAAATGTATAGCTGGCAGGGGCACTCTTTTAAATGTCATGAAAATGCAATTGATCAAGTGATCATTTAGGCATCCTGGGTTTAGAATGCTCACTTCCAGATTCGGCTAACCCATGGCCTTGTTCCATTAAAAAAACAATACACATAAGGGAAGATTTCTCAAAGCCACAAATGAGAGCTAAGGACTCAAACTCCATTAACTTTCAATAGGGTTTAGATGGCTAAGTAACGGCCACTTGTGCCTTTGGAAATCTTCCCCAGAATGCTGATGCAGATGGACAGCCAGAGAGGAGTTGAGGACGAGGTGCACAGGGAAGCCAGGATCTGTGCATTGTACATCCACATGAGGTTGAATTTTCAACCTGTGACTGTCACACACCCACTAGGGGGTAGAAGAGGGGTCAAGTTGGGGAGGGTAAAGCTCAACAACCAGAGGCCGGACCAAAAAAACATGATTTGTGTTTGCTGTAGGGGTTTAATCTCATGACTCTGGGGGGTTGGGATTCATGATGTGTGAACTCTTGGGCTGATGATACTGACACAGGGACAATTGCAAAGTGTGCAGCTCTCTTGAGAGTACAGAACAAAAATTAACCTCATGAAGCTTCTAGGAAACGTTGCTGGGAAACGGAGGAAATCTGCATGTCCTACACCGAACAGCCCTTCGGTTTGGAAGAAAACCCTGCCCTTTTCAGCCTTCTGTTCCGCACATACGTTGGGAGACACATACACTCCTCCCCATTCCAGTGGGGTCACATTTCCCTTAGACATCACGCTGCACCAGAGCTCTCATTTGTATGATCCTCTCAGTCTCTTTAAACGTATGGAAACTTAGGTGGGGGAGGGGAGGTCCCCTATGAGCACGGAGGTTTCTGCAGCATGAATTATTTTTGACACTAGTTTTGCTGTTGTAATTGCTCGTCAGGTTAATTTCTTTGAAGTGTAGGGATGAAATTTCAGTCAGAGTGCTCTGATCCTCTGAGTTAACTGCACTTAAGTTGAGAGATGTTGCTGTGTTATATGCATCCAGGAGATTTTTGTCTGGGGATTTTTTTCTGGGCTTTTCACTTCACAATGCTCCAAAGAAAATAATAAAATTAGAGGAAATATCCCAATGTTCCAATATATATTTGCTCTTCTTGATCCCAAGGTTCTTTGATTTTTAGGTTAAAGCACCTTTCAAAGGAACATATTCACCACAGTGCTGTATATTGTGCCTGGTATGGAATTTCCAGTTGAACGTTGTGTTTTACACTCTGTATATTTGGAGTAGAGTTCACAGGTGCTAATGCATCAATTCTCCGTTACCATTCTCTCCAGCTACACAGAACAAAATAGAAAATAACCAACAATGAAATGGACAGGCCCATATTAGGGAATATGGCTGTGATGAAGACCCATCCTTTCTAATCCCCAAATCCCTTCCGCAATATTGTAGAGCTACATTTGCATATTTTATTTGCAGCCAAAATCAAATAGCCTAGTGAGGTGATGAATACATATTTGGCATGAGACAAGCCTGCTGAGAAAACTTTTCTGTTCTTGGACATTTTTAAGCACCTGGCTTCTCCTATTGTCTTGTAGTCATATGGTAACTTTCTCATTTCCCTATCTTTTTATTTCCTGCATTGAGGTTGGCGACCTGCAATTATAATGAGTCCTGAGAATTATTACCTTTTGCTTCCCATCTTTAGAAGAACTGGGTTCTCTCTCTAACCCAACTTCCTTTGGCCTCCCATCGACAGAGATGGAAACCTACCAGTTTCCAAAGCTGCCTGTGAAAAGGACGAGATCATCTGAGGTCATTCTCAACCTGAGGACAAACCCTGGTCTCCCAAGGTCATCCTAAGCCTTAGGCTAAACCATAGCATCACACATGCTTCCAGACCATGAAGCTCACATAGTATTTTAAAAAAAAACAATGTAGCATACATTTTTGTAAGAGAAGGGCCAAACAGCTCTAGATTGATTAATTTTCCAACTATAACAATAGAAGTAGAGCAGTACTTTCCTTCCATAGCAGTCATTTCATCAAATGTCTCCCCTCTCATTATGTTATCTCATTACGAAGTTATGTTTTCGGCGTCAGCATTGTCTTGCAGTTCCTCCGCCTGTGCTTTCTCAGAAGAATATTTACAGCTAAGGGAACTACCAAATGGCTGCAAAACAACTCGTGTAAGTTCCAGACAGTCTGATAGCTCCCACAATGCACTAGGTACTGTCTGCTCACTTGGGAGAGGCAGTCCCTGCCCGAAAGACCTTCCAATCTAACAATATAAGCAACAGACAGAGGCTGAGGGAGAGAGGGATTAGAGACATTGGGCCAGATCCCCGGCAGTTGTAAATCACCATAGCTTCATTGACTTCATTGGAGATCTGGCTCAGAGTGACAATAAAAAAAACCCACCTCAACTAACCCTAACTCATTCTTTATTAATTGGCCAACATTCTACACTGGAGTATAAAGAAGGGCTAGATGCCTTGTTGAGCCAGTATATATCTACTAAGCTTTCCTTTTTTGTGAGATCTGGGATGAGATGGACATGGCACTGAGGTACATGGCAAGAATCTCATCTATCATATCAAGCAATGCCAGCTGGACGGGGAGTCTGAGTCATTAGCTCGGCACCAGCTGTTCTGTTTTGTGGAGACTGGCCAATGTGTGGGAGCTGCTGGCGGGGTTGCACCACAGAGCTCTCAGGAAGGAAGACCCCCATTGCTTACAAAAGAAGAGGGCACATCTGTGCTACATTTGGAAATGCCAAGATGCAAACAACTACAAGATGGGCTGGGGTGCCTTGGAATAGCGTGGGAAGGTTCACTTTGCTTTGGGAGCAAGGAGAAGAGAGAGACTGTTTCATTAGACTGTTTCATTCAAAGAAACAGGAAGATGAAGGTAAACGGGCCTCTATCCTAGCAAAATAATGATCCTTTGCCTGCCTCTTCCATCCAACGCTCTCATAAAGCTTTAAAAACGTTACTGAATTAAGCTTCATAACACCCTGTCACACAAATATCACTATCCCTGTATTGCAAAAGAGGAAAATCAGGAACAGGGAAGTGACGTGACAGCTCAAGATCACACAGTAAGGTAGTAACAGAGTTCCTTATCTAGGAGATACAGCAGACTCATCTAGTCTGGGGAACAGGCAGAGAAGGGGATACCGAACACACACTAAACAGTGAGGTCCTATGTGCCTAAAATGTAAACTGTTACCAAAATGTTTTAGGTACAGTGGGATGTACGTTCCTTACCTACCATACTGTGAATCAGCTCCTTTGCCTTTAATAATAGCGGGGCCGTTTTGAAATCATAAAATCTAATACACACACACACAGGTTGAAAATATCAAAAGACATGGGGCTATGTGAGCCTTTCCTCCCTGGCAAACTTGTAACAGCAGCTTTTATTAACATAGCACCAGTAATTTTCACCTCTACTAAAAGCTTGTACATTAATCCTCAGAAATGCTCAGACCCACCACTAGCTTGTTATGCTTTATAAAAAATTTAATGGAAAATAAAATGCACCGTTGTGTGTAGATCAATATTGTTATTCTCTTTTGGCAAATGATGAAGTATATTGTTTTCATAATAAAAAAAACCCGCCATAATGCCAACATATTGGTATTGACTGCAGAGCCGGGAGACTAAGGACTGAAAAGAAGTATTTAATATTCTCTCTGCATGCATGTTCTCACAATCATCCAGGGTAGCATGATGTAATTCACCCGTCCGTATTTAAAGACATATATCCAAACAATGCTGACATTTTGGCTGATGAAGAAGACTTACAAACTGAGCCAGATTTTCAAAAGAGCTCAGTTCCCACAAGGTCCAGATTTTTTTCAATGGTGCTCAGCACCCAGCATGCTGACTTCCTTTGAAAATGTGGCCACACTTATTTTCACACTGAAGGGTGCCATTTTCAGAATGCCTCAGTGATTTAAGCTCTTTTGAAATTTTGACCCTAAATGGGTCTTTTGCTCTTTGGCAAACCTTTAAAGGAGCCTGATTTTCAGAAGTGCAGAGCACACCCACCCTCTCAGACTCCACCTTTCTGGGGTCCCCAGTTAAGCACCCAAAGACTGAAGCACCCCAAATCATTTTTTAAATAATGTTGTCCAAGGTCTTTCTTTCTTTCTTTCTTTCTTTCTTTCTTTCTTTCTTTAAGGCAGGGGCATGGAATCTAAAGCCACCAGAGTCCTTTGGGTCAGTTCCTAATTTTGTAATACTATATCGATGGGTTTGGGGTGTTTTTT